TTTTTTTTTCGTCTTGGTGTTCTTTTGTTTGTTTGTTTGTTTTTTTTTTCGACTTGGTGTTCTTTTTGTTTGTTTTTTTGTTTTTTCGTCTTGGTGTTCTTTTTTTTTTTTTTTTATTCGTCTTGGTGTTCTTTGTTTTTTTTTATTCGTCTTGGTGTTCTTTTTTGTTTTGTTTTTTTTATTCGTCTTGGTGTTCTTTTTTTTTTGTTTTTTTCGTCTTATTTCACTATTATCGGTAATGTAAAAGTTGACACGAATGCAATCTCGTTCAGGTCTATTTTCTCTATTAATTCTACGTAAAGTTGCCTAATATTCATACAATGCATAGCCCCACTATTTACACTATTCCTCATCTTTGTCGCCATATTTATTACAACGTTTCGGCCCTTGTACGCTCCGGCCTTCTTCAGGTGGTTGGAATTTCGCTCACTGGAGTAGACTGTTCTAGTTCCATGTGCCATGTTTAATGGATGTCAGTTGTCAGTTATCTCCTGTTAATTCCCCTCTCCAAGTTCTTCAGCTGCACGGGATAACGTACACACAGTCTTTAGTCATGTTCTCCTCTATCGGGGGCGGGGGTCTTACTCGTGAGAGATATCTGCGAAGTGTCGTCCAGCTTTTGAAGGTTGTCCTGATCTTATATAGACCGCAGATCCTTTGTATTTTCTCTGATAACCCCTTCACATAAGGCAGACTGTTTTCCGAGTGTTGTTGTCCTTCTCCTCTTGTACCCGCCTATCCCAGTTTTGTGGGGGCTGCTGCTATGTACCCAGGATAGTTGTTACGTTGTAGGATACTACTTACACTGACCAATTCTTTATCTAATGTCTCTGGGTCGCCACTTATGACGTTTGCTCGGTGTTGTAAGCACCGGATGAACCCTCCGATCTAGCTCTAATCTCTGGGTAGGGAGAAAGTTGTCTATTTGCATTCAATACCTCCAAAATCAAACTATTTACATTCTATCATCGCCGGAAAACATGGAGTTCCACAAGCGAGAAGTGCGTAAGAAGAAACTATTAGCAATGAACTTCCGGTTACATCTAACCAGTTCAACTGTGAATTGATGGGACCTTGTCAATCAAGTACTGCACTTAAATTCATAAAATCTCTGGAAAATAGCGAAGAGTTCGACCTAAATGACCCCCACAGATACACACCAAAAACAAACCTTTTATGTCCGTGTCAGTGCTTCACTGAAATACTTCAAAATGCACCGAGAGCATTTCTTTGCTAAGATAAAAAAGAAATTGTCCAAGAATTGATCAAATGGTGAAAGATACGGAAACAAAACAGTAAATACATGGTTAAATAAAATATAAAATCTTATTTTTATTTAATAAGCAACACAAATATTTTACGTTCACGAATATCATATAAAAAAAATATACATTTTCTCAGTGTATCATATACTCTTCACCTCGAACCTGCGTATTCTGATAGAAAGTTAATTTGGTAATAGCTTTAAAACATGAAAAAAAATATATATATATATTTTTAAAAATTTTCTGTTTTAGTTGAAGTACTGAAAAGCGCTTTTGTGTGCTGTGTTCATTTACATTGGCGGTCACGGATCCCCACAATTTTCTGTCTTTTGTAGCGCTTAATAATTTTTTTCGTTTTGTTATCTCTCCTAAACCTTGTTCTGAGATTCATTTACTCAAGCTCGCTAGGTAGATAATGAGGCGTTTTCTTCTGTCCCTTTTGCCCTCAACCTGTTCTGGAAGTATAAAATTTCCTGAGCTCCCTTTTCAACTGTCTCTTCCTGATAAGTATAAGTATACTTTTTTCTGGTTTCTCTAAAACTTCCTCGTTGCTCACATGGTTAGTCTATGGCATTCTCAGCATCCTTCTATAGAACCGCATTTCAGTTTTTTCTATTCTCTGTGAGGAGATTCTCCAGTATTCATTGACATATAGGAAAACTGATATTACAACTGTGTTTATCATTCTTTTATGTCTGTCAATCAAAAGCATCTTTCATATACATTCTGCTAAACTCATTTTATACAATTTAAGAGACCAACCATACTGTCAGAATATACAGGGTGCGATGGGTAAATTATCGCAGTTCTATATTTTTAATTTAGCTCATGCACGATGTTCTTGATTTTGTCCACTGCACAATATAGCAAGATCAGTTGAACACCGGAAGCTTCAATACAAACATTTCAGAGTGTTTGGGTGTCAATCTGAGGACAATGCAGAAAGGGTTGAAAAGAGTTGGATGAGTCTAATGCTGATTACGATGGTATTTGGAGTGATCACTAATTATGGTAACATTATACCTCCATTCCTATTCCAACAGGGCCCCAGACACAATGCGGAGGCCTACGTCAAGCGCTTTGAGGAGATAATGCTGCCCTGGCTCAAGAGGGTGGCTACTGGAAGACCCTATGCCTGGCAACAGGCTGTCTGACAATTTCTACAACCACATCACCTCTTACATCTGGCCACTTAACTCCCCACACTGCAACCCCTTGATTATTATATGTGGGGTGCAGTTGAACAAGAGACCAATAAAAATCCTTGTAATATCAAAGATGAGCTGAATGCAAGGATTATAGCAGCATTCACCAACTTAAGGTGACCGTCCAGAAGTGATGAAGGAGATCCCGAAGTTTTCTGGAGGCCGTGGTTGAAGCCAATGGCGAATTTATTGAATAAATTTACTCTTTAATATTTCAAGATATTTTTGTATTATTTTAGTAAATATATCTGTTAAAATGAGACGACAGAGTAGTTTTCATTTTTGCGTAATTTAGATAACAATTTATCCATTGCATCCTGTATTCGGTGTAACTTTTAATCAGCAGGAATTTGTATTTTTTCTTACATGTTGTATGGGTCCGCTTCTGCCTCGGTTTCGTCTATCAATTTAACTCTATTTCAGCCAGATAAAACCCTGACAACGTCGGAGGATCTGTTAATACGGGTGAAGATGCGAACATTAGACAATCATTTGCTTTTGCGTTAAATTCGTCACGAAAATTGTTTATGAAATAAGGCGAATTAAAAATTTTGTTTTCTATGTACCGTGTCCCTTCAGGGCGTGGTTAATCATGACTCTCCGTAATTTCCTGTCCTTTTTAGCTCTTAGTAAAGTTTATTTTTGCTGTTTTCATTGTTCAGATAACTATTTACACAAACTCGTTAGATAAGTTATGCTCAGCTTCTTTTCCTCTTGCCTTCAATTTGTCTAGTGAGTTTTAGATTTTCTAAACCTTTCCCCCATGTGCTCAAGATATTTTAACTGTTTCTTTCTAGTTCTAATTATAAGTGTCCTTTTTGTTCCCATTTTCTTTAAAACTTCGTTTCTCACATGTTTGGTCTATGGTATTCCCAGAATCCTTCTGTAGAACTACTTTTCTGTTGATTAAAGTCTTTTCATCTGTAAATAGATTGTCTACCATTCCCCGCCATTTACGATGACCAATATTACATAACTGTTCAGTCCTCTTTTCTTTGTTTCTAACGAAATTATCCTGTTTCTTAATAGTTTGCTTAGCTTTTTGAAGGCATCTTTCGCTTTCCCAATCGTCCTTCGGATTTCAGTGTCACAATTTCCGTACTCTGTTAAAATACTTCCTAGATATTTAGATGTTTGTACTTGCTTGATTTGGCTTAAACTGATTTATAGGAAGAAACCTCAAATTAATAATGGATTTTTTTTCTTTCAAATGGCGGAGTAATGATGATAGTTATCCGTTTCTCGCAGCGTAAGGATTTTTTTTTCAAAGCCGTAGGGTAAATCAGCGGTAATAAAATTTTCAGCGGATATATCCGCTTTCCGCAGCAAAAAGGTGTTAATGGTGGATTTTTGTTTTTCTTATAATTAATACCGGATATTAAGTAAGCCTCAATAGGTTAAAAGTATGTTTCGCTAAATATCATTTTTTGACCAAACTTGGATAAGCGTTCCTGCAATAAGACGGGTTGGCAAAAGAATACTCCCCCCCACCATCATACCGCTTTTTTCAACTACCTTCACTCCTCAGCAATGTTTGTTTTCAAAAGCGATGATTATAATTGTAATAAAACTTAAATATTTGAAAGTTAATTTATATATTTTCTTTGTTTTGACAACAAAAAAATAAACACTATGGAATATTGTAATATAAGCACTTAAAAGAGAAATTGTTTACCAGAAATTTGTAATTACGATACTCAATTAATATACTGAGTATTAAAAGTCAAAAGTTATTTTCAATAGTCAGGAATTAAAACAAGCCTCACTCACTGTAATATTAAGTCTATTTTATACTACATCTTATATCTATTTATTTGTCAGTAAAAGCTGACAAATTCCATATGAATTTGATGAATCGACACACAAAAAGAGAATACAATATTTGATCATGAATATCTAACCGTAGTGATAAATCTATTCACCAGTTTTGTTTAATATGTGTGTGTGTATTCGTGTCAGCGTCCACACTGAACAGCTGCAAAAATCTACAGATTGATTGACTGTCCATGAAAAAAAAGTTTAAATGAAAGATACTAACACTGTCACGTTTTTATTCTATTTAAGTTGGCGGGATAAATTAATGTACTGGAGAGATATGTACTGGTTTTTTCACCGCTATTTTTGCTCATTTTTTTCTCCGTGAATATGGTGAGAACACTCTCACAAACCAACAGCTACATACATCAAATATATTTTGATTTAATTATACCAACAGAGTGCATGTCCTCTTTTGCTAATATGATTTATAACATTGTTAGCCTTTACTATGACCTTAATAATAGCTGCAGTCAAAAACGGAATTTGAAGATCTGTAGGCGTTCACAAGGTACACACATGGCTAACTATCTTTGCACTTTAAGTTAATTAATTAGCATTTACTTAGACAATCACATGACATCTATACAACTTGTACTTAATATATTCTTTGTATGGTTACTTACACTTTTATACATTATAGTTTCTCTCAGACGCGCGCGCATACACACACACACACACACACACACACACACACACACACAGAGAGAGAGGCTTACGGCTATATCACGTTGAAACACCGGTTCTCGTACGAACACCGAAGTTAAGCAACATAGAGCCTGGACAGTATCTAGATGGGTGACTTGATGTGCGGGTACTGCATTGGATAACAGCTTGGAATTGAGGTCGGAGAGTAGAGTTCCAATTTCAGTCAGGTTCGTTATATTCACTTAGAGACAAATGTCATTGGGAAAGGTATGAATCCACATCTTCTCACCAGCTATGGGTTAATTAGTACGACTTGTACCAATAATTATTATCTCTAAAGAATTCTTGCAATTTAAGAATATTTCATGGATTCAAATAATCTGAAATGGTTAAGCTGTAAAAACAGCAGTTTCCTTCAAATAATGTCGACATTCTTTCCGATCAAATGGAAGTTTATCAAATCTATAATATCTCAGATTAATTGGTTCTGACCTAACCATAACTCAGTTACGCCATATGTTTTCTGACGTAACCATAACTCAGTTACGCCATAGGTTTTCTGACGTAACCATAACTCAGTTACGCCATATGTTTTCTGACGTAACCATAACTCAGTTACGCCATATGTTTTCTGACGTAACCATAACTCAGTTACGCCATAGGTTTTCTGACGTAACCATAACTCAGTTACGCCATAGGTTTTCTGACGTAACCATAACTCAGTTACGCCATAGGTTTTCTGACGTAACCATAACTCAGTTACGCCATAGGTTTTCTGACGTAACCATAACTCAGTTACGCCATAGGTTTTCTTCCATAACTCAGACGACGTAACCATAACTCAGTTACGCCATAGGTTTTCTGACGTAACCATAACTCAGTTACGCCATAGGTTTTCTGATTTTTCTTCATGCCATTTCTTAAATGATTTAATTTACGATAACGAAATGCATAATTTTGCCGTAAGCTAAAGGATTTGAACGATTTAATATTATTGATAATGATTCATTTTATTTTTAACAATAGTGTTGATAATGCTTCATATTTTAGGGAAGCTCATTGAGGGAGTATATATATATATATATATATAAAGTAATTATACTTGTCTGGAAAAACCTTAGGTGTTCTGGCTAGCGTACCCTGACGATCCGCGTAGGTGAAACCTTGGTAGATTTGCTTGGCTCTTTAGGTTCATAGTTATATCTATCATGGTCGATTTCTCTTTCCTGATATTATCGGACTGGATCGAGGTTGATCCCAGCGTGCGACTTTCCTTTGGAAAGTGCATGAAAACCATACCACAGATTGACCCAAGCCTTGTGAGTGGTTAGACGGAACTCTTGGTGTCCGTCGATAGCTGTGCTAGCACGAAGTCATCGTGGCCAAGGGTTTGAGTGTGCTGGCCTTGCTCAAATTGTTGATCAAGCCAGATAACAAGCTCTCTCCCAGAAAACGTAACTAAGGTCTGCTCAGCAATTATGCAGTATAAACCACAGGTGTGGGCTCTGTGGTTGTTGAGTAAACACAAATGGGCCTAAGTTAGCGTCTACAATAGGAATTGGTTAGTCGCCCTAGTAGACAGGTATCCTCGAATACGAGTGGCTATCTATTATATATATTAATCCTCTCAAATTAACGGATCAATTTCTTAATATTGTTATTAAGCCCATCAAGGAAGAAACCGTAGTTATTTTCATTTCTTTTATTTTTCCATATACTTTCAATCTCATTCAAGATCATCTTCGGGAGTGAATTACTAAGACAGAAAAATGAATATAATTGATAGTTGTGATTTTTTTATTAAAATACGCATAAAACGCGCTCTGTTATAATTATGAACACGTCTGAATGCGCTATGTTATAGTCAATTTAAAAATTAACAGTTAAGAATGCATCTAAGGGAGATAACTTAATTTATATTTTCATGACAACAATATTATCAAGGGCCCTTACATTGCATATGTTGGATTCAAGTTCTATTGCACAACATTTAAAGGAACATTCCTGCATACATTCACATTTTAGAGAAATATTGATTGACAATACAAGTATACCCCACCATGAAAATAAAGAACTAGGTTCAAATTCTTGAAAAATACAGCCAACATATAAACAAGAAAAAATAGGAGTATAGCGACAGTTTTAAAATGCTTATAAAAGTTTTGGGATACTCATATTGTAAAAAAAAAAAAATGAATAAATTCCAAGTTAAGTATTTTAAAGATATAGATTTCACATTTCATCTGAAATCCAGAGTTTATGAAATTTACATACATTTGTAAAAAGAAAAAAAATGTAAAAGACAATGCCATGAGAATATGGGTGAAATATTTATATTTTCCTAACGAACGGATTTCCCTTCAAGTCTCTGGTTATTTAAAATATTTTGTTTGCTCTGCCACAAGCCTGCAAATAGATTATTGGATCTAATATTTCAAAGCACTGAATATTTTGAAAGATTTTTTCATGACCTCAAGGGCAAATATAGGTTTAAAATAGAAACAAAAATATTTATTATACACTGAATAAAGCCTCCCAAAAAAAGAAACACAAATATACACTGTACAAAGAAATACATAGGGTTTTTAAAGCTTCACAAATATTCATTTGCTCACCAAAATTCCCTTCTTGAATGTACCGTTTTTCTTCAGGACGCGGGCGATCATGCCTCTCCCCAATTTACTGTCTTTTGTAGATCTTAATAAAGTTTACTTGCCCTAAACTGTGTTCTGCTATCCATTTACTTAAGCTCGTTAGGTAAATTATACTTTGTCGTCGTTGTTTTCCTCTTCATTTTCACACTTAATAAACTTTGTCTTTTTTTCTATCTCTTTTACTCCCTGTTCTTGCTAACCATTTACACAAGCTTCGTCGTCGTTTTCGTCGTCGTTTTCTTCTTCGTCCTCGACTTCTTCTATTACTTCTACTACTACTTCTCCTACTCCTTCTACATCTCCTACTACTACTTCTCCTTCTACATCTCCTACTACTACTTCTCCTTCTACATCTCCTACTACTACTTCTCCTTCCTCCTCCTACTATCTCCTCCTCCTACCTTCTTCTTCTCATCTCCTCCTACTACTACCTTCTCCATCTCCTCCTCCTACTACTTCTCCTTCTCCATCTCCTCCTCCTACTACTTCTCCTTCTCCATCTCCTCCTACTACTACTTCTCCTTCTCCATCTCCTCCTACATCTCCTCCTACATCTCCTCCTACTACATTTTCTTCTACTACTTGTTGTTTTACTACTACTTCTACTACTATCTCTTTAGGACGATGGTAATCTGGTCCTTTGGAACTCTTAGTAAAAATTTGTCTTTTTTGCTTTCTCCCTTTTCTGTCGACTATTTACATAAGCTGGTTAGGTAGGTTTCTGTGCTGTTTTCCTTTATCCCTCTTGCCTTCAAGAAAGCGTATTTATTGGCACGCACACTCGAACGGAATGCGCCTCCAGGTTAAATTTAAAGTGAATTAGTTGACAACACTTTGCCCAAGTTCCATCAGTCCTACTGTTTTAGGGGATGCCCTGGCACCACGTCATGTCCTAGTTCCTTCCTGAATGAGAAAGGATGTGGTGTGGCTTCCTGGGGATCGAGAGCATTATATTAATTTTCAACCCTACGGCCCGTCTAAATAGGTTTGTCGTTTCAAAATTTCATTGATCATTATTTACAGTATTTATATGTTGACTATATTCTTTATCTTTGTTATTACAATATTTCGCCCGTTATGCCCCTGAACATCATCAGGTGTATATCGATCCAAGTAACCTACAGGGAATTCCGAACTGCACTCTTTATTTAATCTACGAGGGTAGACTGTTCTCTTTTTCACTGACCATGTCTAGGGATATCGTGTCTAGTTCTTATTTTTAGCAATACTCTGTTAACCTTTAGGCTACCAAGAGCGACAAACACCTGATGAAGGTCGGAAGGTACAACAATGATGACAACTAAGATGAGGAGTACAGTCTGTATATAAGGAGTTTAAACTCCTTATTCTTTATCTCCACATGACTTAACATTTTCAATCATTTCGCGTTTTGTTTTTCGAACTGACAGGCTACTGGGGATTGGTGTCGTCAGTTATGGAGTCTCCATCCCTAAACTTGTCTCCATCGCTAAACTTGTTGCCACCTCAAGGCAGGAGAACTCAGCCTGCTTTGAAATTCAAGAGATGCATTCATTTCTTTGTAAATACAAGGTGCTGTAAGCTTGGGTGTGCGGTGTGTTTAATTGATATTGGCTCGGAGAGCCGTGTTTCAATTTCCGTTGGTTCGGCTTTATTCCTTTACTCTCAAATATTCTTGAGAAAATTGGTTATTTATTAAGACTTGTATTACTAAAATCTGTTCTAAAAAAAAAAAAAAAGTCTTAAAACTTAAAAATATTTTCTGGCTTTAAATAATCAGTAGATGGTTCATAAGCCGTAGAAAACGAATCGGTCATTTCTTTGTCAAGGAGGGAATTTCGACATTGTGTAACAGCTAACAAGCTTCTCTTGCAAGGTCAATTACGACTGAGTAGAGAGTTCGATCCTCACTGGGTGCACCATAATTTCGTTTTAGAAAATCATTTCTTTGTTAAGGGAATGTGACGAGCTCTATCGAAATTAGAACTCGATTCGCTGATTTCTTTTTTCGAAACGCTAAACATTGCACTATCCACACTTCCTTTTTAATCTAATTGCTAAATAATTTACAAGAGACTAAAATCAAGTGTTTCTGTAATTAATTTCTTCTGTCTGATAATTGGGACGGAATATACAAACACAATAGCTGTTTGTTCATTTTTCTAATCGGCCAAGTGGGATAAAAATTGTCAGATTAATGTCTCTTCAAAATGGATACCACACTCGTATGTACCATTTTTCACTCGATATGAGAGATTTTACAACTATCAAGCTGACTTTCATAATAAAACTGTATTTTTCCTGGTTGTTCTCTTGAGTGACTGGGCGATAAAACCTCTGCATTGTCATCCGTTCTACCAGTGATATGTGCGTCACGTCATTCGTACCACAGCAGAGAAAAACATAACTGATGATTTGTAAAGATAAAAGCAATGATGATGTGATGCCGTAGAGGAGACGACAATGTCTTAAATTCTAACCTGGTCTCTGTGTTTGGCAATTTGGATAATATTTCTGTGAAGTTTAACTCGTTGAAATAGCTTAGGAATGAAAAAAAATGTATCACGTTTCTGAGTAGAAAAAAAACTTCTGTTAGTAAGTGGGGTATATCATTCACGCCAGGAAATAGCAGATGGTCTGAATAGAATTTAATGTCAATAAGGAGCCCTTGCTCTAAGAAGTTGATCTGCAATGATCTCCGTATTTACTGGGCTAACTACAGATGATACCAAAATCGACTTTGTATTATCTGTTACACTAGAGTAGAGTCTCAGAGAAGCGACCTTCATCAATGAGTTCTCTTTAACTCCCTATTTCCTTCTCTCTTTCCTTTCTTCTCTCTTTCCCTTTCCCTTTCTTCTCTCTTTCCCTTTCTTCTCTCTTTCCCTTTCTTCTCTCTTTTTCCCTTTCTTCTCTCTTTCCCTTTCTTCTCTCTTTCCTTTCTTCTCTCTTTCCCTTTCTTCTCTCTTTTCCCTTTCTTCTCTCTTCCCTTTCTTCTCTCTTTCCTTTCTTCTCTCTTTCCTTTCTTCTCTCTTTCCTTTCTTCTCTCTTTCCTTTCTTCTCTCTTTTCCCTTTCTTCTCTCTTTCCCTTTCTTCTCTCTTTCCCTTTCTTCTCTCTTTCCCTTTCTTCTCTCTTTCCCTTTCTTCTCTCTTCCCTTTCTTCTCTCTTTCCCTTTCTTCTCTCTTTCCTTTCTTCTCTCTTTCCTTTCTTCTCTCTTTCCCTTTCTTCTCTCTTTCCCTTTCTTCTCTCTTTCCTTTCTTCTCTCTTTCCTTTCTTCTCTCTTTCCCTTTCTTCTCTCTTTCCCTTTCTTCTCTCTTTCCTTTCTTCTCTCTTTCCCTTTCTTCTCTCTTTCCCTTTCTTCTCTCTTTCCCTTTCTTCTCTCTTTCCCTTTCTTCTCTCTTTCCCTTTCTTCTCTCTTTCCCTTTCTTCTCTCTTTCCCTTTCTTCTCTCTTTCCCTTTCTTCTCTCTTTCCCTTTCTTCTCTCTTTCCTTTCTTCTCTTTTCCTTTCTTCTCTCTTTCCCTTTCTTCTCTCTTTCCCTTTCTTCTCTCTTTCCCTTTCTTCTCTCTTTCCTTTCTTCTCTCTTTCCCTTTCTTCTCTCTTTTTTCCCTTTCTTCTCTCTTTCCCTTTCTTCTCTCTTTCCTTTCTTCTCTCTTTCCCTTTCTTCTCTCTTTCCCTTTCTTCTCTCTTTCCCTTTCTTCTCTCTTTCCCTTTCTTCTCTCTTTCCCTTTCTTCTCTCTTTCCCTTTCTTCTCTCTTTCCCTTTCTTCTCTCTTTCCTTTCTTCTCTCTTTCCCTTTCTTCTCTCTTTCCCTTTCTTCTCTCTTTCCCTTTCTTCTCTCTTTCCCTTTCTTCTCTCTTTCCCTTTCTTCTCTCTTTCCCTTTCTTCTCTCTTTCCCTTTCTTCTCTCTTTCCCTTTCTTCTCTCTTTCCCTTTCTTCTCTCTTTCCTTTCTTCTCTCTTTCCCTTTCTTCTCTCTTTCCCTTTCTTCTCTCTTTCCCTTTCTTCTCTCTTTCCTTTTCTTCTCTCTTTCCTTTCTTCTCTCTTTCCCTTTCTTCTCTCTTTCCCTTTCCTTTCTTCTCTTTCCTTTCTTCTCTCTTTCCCTTTCTTCTTCTCTCTTCTTCCCTTTCTTCTCTCTTTCCCTTTCTTCTCTCTTTCCCTTTCTTCTCTTTTTCCCTTTCTTCTCTCTTTCCCCTTTCTTCTCTCTTTCCCCTTTCTTCTCTCTTTCCCCTTTCTTCTCTCTTTCCCCTTTCTTCTCTCTTTCCCCTATTTGAGAGCTCAGGCTAAATCTGCTTCCCCCAGCAAATGCTACAGTTTGTACGTCTATGGTGCCTTTTCTCTTTGGGAATATATCTTCTCCAGATATACAAATCTCCGGCTTGCAGTCCTCAAATTGGAAAAACGCAAGACTCACCTTTTTCATCACCTGGGATATGGTAGATGATTCCGACCCGTTTGAAACCTAGCTTCTCCAGAAACAGAAATATCTCTATATTATATCTAAGACCCTATCTTTTCGTTCTCCTTAAACTCTGCTTCCCGTGTAGATATGTTTTGATATAATTTTTTCTGCGTCTGACACGTGAATATATGTATATATAATTTTGTGTATCTTTTAGTGGTATAAAAATTTCGCTGAGAACAAAGCATAGATGGTATTCCGTTTCGTCCGCGAAATACAGTGTTAGAATATGATAGATCTCGCGTGACTTTCCTTCTGGTTGACATAGGTATTTCTCACCATTGCTGAAATTAGTTTGAACCCAGCTAAAAAGCTGATATTTCGAATCTTGAATTTATAGATCTTCACTACTTGGAAGGTTGGCGTAACACGATCTTTCTAGCTTTATTTTATTTTGTGCGATACTAATCTAAACTTAGTTTTTGATTCCCCCACAATAAATCGTCACTTGAACATGACAAAATTAAACAGTGAGTTCAAATCCAGCAGATGACACTGCAGAATTTGCACTTTTGAGTTAGTCCCGAACATAAAAGTAATTTCTTATCACCTGAATATATCGATAGTAAACAACTACTTGATATTATTGATATTCTCAGAAGTATTGGTTTTTGATTACTATTTACCGTGTATATACACAGCAGCAGAAACATTTATTGTCGGTACAAGAATAGGACTCGGAAATGGGGTGAAAAACCTAGTAAAATCCTACAAATAGATAGAATAGTTTTATGCTACCATCAGTACTTACATTTTTACTTTCGAAGTTTTTATTTTTATATCTATGAGGAAACATGCTTAACATTAGTAACAGAAAGGACATGTCTCATTTACGACGCTTCTTCAACGATAAACTGCCCAGAACACACACACACACACACACACACACACATATATATATATATATATATATATATATATTTACTAAGCGATGCTTAGATGCGGCACAAGGCCAAAAGTATGGCGCACCTAGCGAAGATCGAATTCGGTAATAATTGATATAACGAGACAAGCTTTCTAACCATTAAACCTCATCAAAGTGCTCAATATATAATACTTGAGAGAATACTTTAAACTAAACAAATAAGATAACCAACCCCCGCCCACGGAAAAAGAAAAAAATTACCAAACTACAAATTATCACAAGTATAATAACAACAACAAATAATTATGTACTCAATAATAAATGATTAGTAAACAAACATAAAATAGCAACAAATAACCGCATTCGGCTCCACAATAATTTCTATTCAACAACCTCTAGAATAATTTTAAATATAACCGTTACCACCCAACCACTAACCGTTAGAATAATACAATAGACCTTGCTACACATAATGCACCGTTGACCAGCATATATAAATAGTCGAGCCAAAACACAATTCACGTAAACTGAAGATTTCGTCGAAACATGACACAGACTATCACGGCTTGATGTTGACCAGTGACCACTTTTATATATTCTCTATAACTGATTGTGAGTACTTTTAACAATAAATATAGCACATTTTAAAACTATATCTTTTATCGTGTGTGGATATATGGCTGCTCAGTTCTTTGAGGATATTTGTACGAATTTAGTAAAATTTGATAAAAAATTGGTAAGAATAATTTTGAGATTCTTCTTAATGCATCTTTCATGAATTCGCCGTGAGCATCGATGGCTTCTTCAATACGAGGTCTGAAATATCAGATTATCTTTATAAAATCATTGTACAACTTATGGCTGACTTCAGAGTTTTTATAGTGAGATGGGTAGATTGACTTCCCTTTCGACTATGCCTCATACGTAGAAGTTCAACTGATTCAGATCTGGAGAGTTAGGCCATATTTTGGAGGTGACGCGACCGTGGAAATTGTCATATCCAGTCTTGACCTCATGAGACTGCACAATCACGTTGTCAGGGGTACGGTCTCCTTGTGCTCTCGCTCTCGCTCTCGCTCTCGCTCTCGCTCTATATCCAAGTCCTCACAACCCTCCTAACATCTTATAATCAGCAGTATTGATCCTGAATCCCTTAGGAAAGAATTGAGGAAATATAACATGTTGCCCATGGTTCCCAGAACCATCACATTTGCCAGAAACTTTGTGTGCATAACCATTGGAACGTCCTTAGGGTCTTTACATAACCAATTGCCATTTCTCTGGTTGAGAAAAACCAAAACATTGCAGGCTCTTGATGACAAGCGCTTTGCACCGATCAGACGAATATTTTTGGGGGTTTTTGTAGACATAAATTGACTTCTCCATATCACATGATTTGTATCGAAAATCATCATACACAATTGCTATCCTTAATGGCGTTAATTGGTAATTAAGTTTAGGGTGCTTATCGATAATTTTCTGCACCTTCCGTCCAGATGTGGATGTTCTGGTAGTATTAGAACACTAAGCAGGCATTTTACGCTTGGATACTGCTGTAGATTATTGATCACTGGCTTCCATCTCTTTGAGAACGTTGTCAACAAAGGCCGCGCGGCTTTCAGGAAGCGAGCAATCTTTAATTCACTATGCTCTGCTTTAAGACAAAGATTTCAATGTGCCTTTTCATTCGATGAGTCAGTTTGATTCTTGTTATCATTCATCTGAAAAGAAATGATAATCAGTAAAAGTTAGAAAAGGGTTAGAGAAATTTGCAACATTCTATATGTGGGCATCGAATGGCGATTAACAAATGTATATTTTTTTATTATATGAGAGAAGCACCTCGAGATATATATATGTTACTTTCTAACAACCCGTCTGTATTTGTGTGTGTGAAGGCACCTCGAGGCGGTGTAATAGCAAGTTTGTTCCTCTAGAACAATTACGACTCAGTAGTGAGTTCGATCCTCACTAGGTACCCCATACGTTGTTTTTCTGCATTTTTATGGATACAACGTATCTGAGTAAAATATAATTAATACTGTTTCATTAAAAAAAGAGCAGATACTCAAATAAGTTGTAACCATAAAAATAACGTATAAAAACAAAATATATTAAAATATTTGTCGAATTTAATCCATTTCATCTAATATATATATATATATATATATATATATATATATATATATATATATATATATATATAGATAATTTGTGTATGTATAAGAGAGCTGTTGAGGTTATAAATAGGAGGGAGGGTTGAAAAAACTTGGGCCCCACTTACTTTCCAGGACTTGGCCAAAAAACAAATATCGGATTGTTTATCTTTTTGAATCCATTCTTGATCTGAGAAGTTTTCCCTATTCCTCGGATTGCGATTGTTTAAATTTTCCCTGAAATGAAATTTCTTGAAAAATGACTGTTATATTAAAATTGATAACATCAATTATTAATGAATAGTGTTTTCGATTCTCAGTAGGTGTCACATAGACATGGCCTTATGGCAAATATAAGTTAAGATTGGAAAGACCAGTTTGTATAACATTGTATAAGATGCATGACGATCAAGACAGGTTTTCTTTAGGATATATTTTATTTTGCATTGAAAAAAGAAACGATTGAAACCACTGAAAATATAAAATAAAACGTTTAAATGTCAAAAGTCTCTTTCAATTAGTATAAATCTCGAACTAAAAAATTCCATAACATAAGGTTTATTCCAAGATTTGATCAAATTTTGAAGAGAAGGATTTTATTTGTTTTGTTTTTCTTTTCTTTTTATGGGATTCGTTACATGAACCAGCAGACATTCACTATTTAAAGCAAATTTCTAGTCAATCATGTGACACTTAAAAACACTGACACGCGGAAACCATAAAACACGAAGCCATCGCAAGAGACATTCAGTTGAATGACGAGATATTTATACACATGCCGACGCATTTCATGTGTTTGTAGTTCGGACAAGCATTTAAAAGTCAAGTTGACATTTTGATACTCTGGAATTTTTTCCCACGAAAAAATAGGTACAAGATATTCAATAATAAAGAGATGAGTCCTAAAGCACATCGATGCAGGGAACACTATTCACAAACCATTTTTAAATATATTTTATTTTTTTGCGTGCTATTGTTCACTCAGTATAAGGCCAAAGAGTCACCCAAGATAGGATACTAAATGAGATCGTTGTAAGGGGGTAAAGGGTTGAAGTAGGTTGGTTAGTTAATTTGTTTAACGACATATCAACTCTTTGTGTTATTTAATGCCGAAATTTAATTTTCTTGGGAGCTTCGAAGTAATAAAAATTGTTATTCTGTTTTCACACTTGAATACATATTAGATGATACACAGCTTTTGCAGTTTGTGTGGATATGATTACTAGAGGTGGTTTATGTGTTTTTTATGGTGTACTTATTTAAGTTACATTTTGAAATACTGTTTGATTTCTTGAAAAAATTGTAGTATATTGTATGGATGATGGAATGAAAGTTCTTTCATGCTGGTTGGTTGGTTGATTTTGTTTAGCAATCTATGAACCACCGAAATAAATACCGTAATCTAAATATTTTGAACACAATTTTATGGATTAAACTACAGATAAAATGTGGTGCTGGTCATATATATATATATATATATATATATATATATATATAAAAGTTACTGAGGGTATTTTTTATTATAAAAATGTATTTTATATTTTCATACGGTTGCCTGAGAGTTCACTGTTTATCCATGGCTGTTTCCCTAACAGGTGCTACCACCTCGGGCCAGGGTGGACCTAGAAACAACAGCAATGAAGAGGTTGTTCCACGCTGTTCAAAACCTCCAGTCTTCCAATCAAAGGCCTTGCAACCGGATGAGGGTTGTAAAAGTTAAGGTCGTAGTGACCGGGAAAGCATCTTCAAAAATTAACAGTTGATAACATTAGTTTCTGAACAATTAATAAATAAATAAATTAAT